GTATTGTACAGTCAGAAATATCAAGTTATTCTTAATACTGCAGACTTGCAATGTGTAAGTTGTCCTAACAGTCATCTTAAGTAAGCTTTACTTAGTTTTTTTGAGTTCTGGGAACTAACAGGGCTGTACAGTGTACTCAAAATGAGTAAGTTACCCTAACTTGGTCATCTTATGTAAACTTGATCCAATTTGTTTGAGTTCTGGGAACAAATGAGCTTATACAGAGTACTCAAAATAAATAAGTTGTCCTAATTTAGTCATTTTTAGCTAAGCTTTACTCAATTTATTTGAGGCAACGAGTTTCCTCAATTATTTTGAGTTCTGGGAACTAATTAGATTTTACAGTGTACTTGAAAATGTTATTTCATTTAAATAATCTATTACAATAGCCCGTTAGGCAAGAGAAACTCCAGTTAACATTTAGAGGTAAAGACAACAAATGAGTTGCCCTTTCAAGCTAGAAGACTAGAACAACCAGCAGTCACTGATTTGCTGAGATGAGCACCTTCATGTAACTATAGGCACAGAAATACGCTCATTGGTCTTACTGATTGGTGCTTTTTAAGTAGGAAGTGCAATTTTTTAATGTGATTCCCATCTGTACTGGCAACCAGTCCAGTGGTGATATTACTGACTCACTGCACTTTGGAAGAAAATGGAATAGCTTAATAGTCAATGATTTAAACTTTTTCACCACTAACAGTACCTCATAAGTAAATCTGGCAGATAAAAGCACAAAAACGTACGCGCACACAGACACAAACAAAGCGACAAAGCTGTGTTGTGGTGAATGGGCTTTATTGGCATACATATTCCTTACAGTCTCTGCACTTTTAGTGAAATATAAAGATTCAGCTTCAACTTAGTAATGCAAATTTCACACACATAGGAAATAGAGTCACAAAGCACTAGTTTGATGCCATCTTCATCAAAGCACACTCGTTCTTGAAACGCCACGTGGCAAAAACAAAATCCTATGTGCAGGTAATGGTAGCGACCTGTAAAGTTTGCAGGTCTAAGGCACTGATTTCTGGTGTTTAGACATCTCAATTCAGATGCAGGATTTCAACAAATGAACACATTAAACAAACCGAGCTACTCTCAGCGTCATAATTGAAAATCGCACACACGCACACAGACACACACGCACACAATTCATATGCACCAGGTTATTGACGCGCCTAAGCTACTTCCACTGACATTGAGGCTAGTCCTTCTGTTAAGAGTGATATTGAAAGCACAGGTATAGTGTCGTTGCTGGGTCCAGAGTAATGGCTTACCTGGATAATTTTGTACATCATTCAAACACTTCATCTAGACTTTGGTTTCAGTTTTCACCATGCTATATTCAGATCAGGTCTCAATGAAAGCTGGACCACTACGTCTCGGAAAAGTAAGACACACAGAGGGAAATGTTTAACCCCTCACAAAAAGAAAAAAAAGCACCAGAGAGACTCTACTAAGTATAACATGGGAACACGATGAACTCCAACTCAAGCCAATAACATAATGTATATAGAAGCAAACTTTTTTTGGCAGCAATGTTATTATTTTAGCCGTAAGACACAAATAAATTCATTGTTGTGGTTGAACTAAAGCCTAAGAAAGCTAAAGAGAATGAAAGAGAAGTGCAATGGTCAGGTAGTGGCCTACTGTGGCAGTTCTATAGGCAACAAAACTTTAAAAAGCACTAGTAGCTCTACCTTTTTATGCAACATTCTGACAAGAGGTTGTACGAGGCGCCAAGCAGTCAGTTTTCTGTGTACTCAGCGCCTATATTTAAACAACCCCCAACCTCACTACCTTTTCAAACAGTGACTTCCATATTCCAAAACAGTGATAACTTGACAGTTTTCTTTTCATAATAACTGCAAAAATATAAGGATTGTAGTAAAAAAAAACATAAAACAAAAAGCAACCCCGAGGCTAGAGTAGGGGTGCAGTAATACAATCAAACATGACAGTACTCAACACAAGGGAATCCACTGATACGCTTTGATTGCCCCGAAACTAACAAACATCAACACAAACACTTAAAAATGTAAAAAAAAAAAAAAAGGATAATAATTAACAGAGCAGAGAAACATGTTAAAGTGAGTTAAATCAAGTATGGAAGAAGGATGATGGCGTGCATCCTCTTCTTTCATTGCATCCCGACTTAGGCCTCCTTTGTGCTGGCCTTCATCTTCTCCACTGTCTCCTATGTTTAAAACAGGGAAAAGAAACGTGAGCTATAGTGTCTCATTTGACATGCTGACTAAAACAGTATTTCTGGAAAACACACGCTTTTTCAGCACTGCATTTGTTTGAAGGTGAATTTGGTGTCACCTATCGAAACTTGTACACACGATGAACCACATTTGTTTACAGTGGCACTACAAAGTATTCCTCTGGGGTGCAGAGTACATGGCTTTGCTGACTCAGTCATGGCCTCAAGCCAGATTCCTAGAGCTACCTTGCGGACATCACGGTGTCATTCACGCACACAAGCAGACGCACAAGCTACAAAAACAGCAATCTGCAAAAATCTTTTTACTTTTGCAGATTGTTCTAAATACATGTGCCAATTAGTCTACTCCTACTAAACCTAATGCACTGCCTGTGAATCAAAATAAGCAAGAAACGTTAAAGGAAGATGCCAACACATAAATCTGTTAAAGGTAAAAGAAACTCAAGCATTGATGGGTTTTTTTTTAAGGCCATCTGCCCTACATTTCATATCCGCAACATCATTTTATGGCTCTAAATTTGAAAACATCGCTCTCCTTTGGATTTATTGTTTCACTTGTTCTGTCAGAAGCAATAAAGCCGCTGATACTGTGGCTCGCCGAGCTCTGCCAGGTTGGAACGCATCAAATATTTACACCGACCTATTCCTCTGTCAGTTGTATTGAGCAATTTGATTTGAAAGGAACTACAGGTAATCAAGGAATATAAAAGCAGGCACGAGGCTATTAGCTCATAAAGGTTATATTTAGTGGACTTTATAACCAATTCTACAAGCAGTGGACAGTGAATGAGCTTTGGAGTGCAGTAGAACCAAGTGGGGAGAAAAGCAAAAATTAGGTTCTAAGGTTGGGAAAACACTTATAATTTTTGATTTATCTTGTCTTTAACTCGACTGATATACTGTACTTTTTTTTTTGATGGGATTTAGTTTACAGATACACACCTGGTGCTTGTTGAGCTCGGCCACACGGAGGTTCCACTCCTCCTCAGTCATCTCCACTCCAGCATCTGCTAAGTCATCCACAGCTGGCTGGTTATCTGGTCAGATTACACAACGGTTAAGTGAAATGTGTGCGTGTAAACAAACAGGATAAATGCCATTTTCAGTATTTTTTTTTACCAGTGCACGTCATGGCGGTGCAGACCCAGTTGCCGCATGCACAAACGCAGCGGTTGCACTCCACCTGGGTCTCTGCTCCGTCCTCATATGTTTCATCCTCCAAGGCACATTCTGCACAAAGATAAAGAACACGCTACCTAGATAAGGCCACAGATAAGACTCTAGTAGACAGTGTTGGGAAGGTTACTTTTAAAATGTATTTGTGGTGGAGGTGTGGTCCCGGGGCGGTGCTGGAGACGCAGGTGAGAACAGCTGATGGCGTTTTGGACTGATCATGGTTTTCTTCCCCTTTTATAGTGAGACGGGAGAGGAGCGGAGGAGGGCTGGAAATCAGCTGAGACCGACAGCTGTCAGACTGTGGTCGGTCATAACAAAGGAAAGAATAAATAAACGTGGCATCTGGAGACAAAGACCTGGGCGTGTGTGTGCCTGTGTGTAGTGCATTTCACAGTATTCCATTACAGAATACAGAATACATGCCCCAAAATGTATTCTGTAACGTATTCCGTTACGTTACTCAATGAGAGTAATGTATTCTGAATACTTTGGATTACTTAATATATTATCATGTATCATTTTACAACTACATGAATGTACTATTGCTGTGATTTATTACTGTTACTGAAGGTCTGTGGCTCCGAACCGTAGTAAAGGGACCTCTGACTAATATGGCGGGTTCGTGTTGGGCTCGTAGCCGAAAAATAGCTTTACTTTGTTGTGTGGGTCAAGTTTGCTTGCGAGAGAGGCGTAGAAAGGTTGCTCCAACGGAACTTATTGTTT